GGGCGAAATCGATTTTCTGAGGTTAGCTTTCGATTATTAGGCAAGGGGTTTTACCCTCTCAAGGTGGTCAAATGTTCGATTATATGGACAACCAGTGAATTTACAGTTTCCATTCTTCGTGCTCGTCTGGCATATGACCGTGGCTAACGCTATTCATATGGTAATGGTCATCTCAACAATAATGCCGATCATGCTCATCGAGGTCGGTGACGTTCAGGTGATCTTCAGAGGGCCAAACTTGATTGCAATGTTGCAGAATGTAATGCAAAATTATGGCTATTTTCTGGGGCTCAGTGGCACCAGAGCTATCCAACCCTCCGAGAGGGACGGAAAAAATGGGGAAAGTGATTTGGGCGCTCATACCCTTAGTGGGTCATTCGGATGAGGGCCGATGGTAGGTGACCTTTAAAACTAAGCTTAGGAGAGGGGAGAAACGCCATGATTGCATAAATCGCTCACGTCCTCCCCAGTGTGTCAAGTCAGAGCAATATCCGTAAGATTTTTGAGCATTCAGTCCTAATGCCACATCCTAAATAAGAGCCTCGATAATATCAGCAATTACCAATTGTACTGGTGAATCGTCGATTTTCGATTTGCTCACTAATTTTATAATCGAAAAGATGCAGAAGCAGAATGTCAACAGTTCAAAAATCCATCTCTGAACAGTTTTTTGCATGCTTCGCTCTTCCCTTATCGAATTACACCTTACCACATGTCTTAATTAATTATCTCGAAAATCACACGGATTTTTTTCTAATAGTCACGTGTGTAGGGAAGCTATAGTAGGATGTGCCGCGTTTAATGAGGAAATAAGTTGATTAGTCAGCCATCAAAGCTCGTAATGTCTCAATATTGTTCAGAACAGCATAGATCTTTGAGTTTTCCAGATTGGAGATGACAGTCCGGAACGGATGTGGTACATTTGGGGTTCACGAGTACTTACGCTTACCGAGCAAGCTGTGCTCTACTTCACCCTGTTGATGACGATCAATCGCTTCGCCGTGTTCGTCTATCCGCATCTTCTTGTCGCATTCACTCAGTATGTTTTTTCTTCCTCGAAAATAGTTAGGTAAGAGCTCAATGCTGGAATTACCCTAATTTCAGGTAGATAAGCCCTAGCCAATGCCACGTAAAAACACCTCCGCTCGTGCAGAGTACTTGCGCACACCTAGAAACTACTGTAACATTAGCCATAGCGATTTTTTCTGCCCCACGAAAATGACATTCATTTTTAGCGGTGGCGGCATCTGGCGCCAGTTGGCGCACCTTGTGCACAACCCCTGCTTTCACCATTCACTGTAAACTTCGGTACAAAGGTGATTTGGTGCCATGATTACGCCAACTGGCGAGAATGAATGTCATATTCGTAATCAGGACACCAAATAACCCCTATACAGAAGTTTACACCAAATTTGGTGAAAACAGGTGTCGTGACAAGGTGACGCCAACTGGCGCCAGATGGCGCCACCGCTAGAAAATGAATGTCATTTTCGTAATCAGGGCATTCGTTACCCCTATTGCCAAAGTTAGGTAGTTTATATGTAGGTGCACGCAAGTACACTGCAAGAAAGGAGGTGTTTCATGTGGCCGTCAAAAACCTCTGGTAGGTGAACTAGGGCTAAGCCCAGGAGAGTTTAGAAACGCCAGAGAGGCCAAGCTTTGCTCACATTCTTTCCCAGAATCCCTTATAATCCCTGAGGCCCAAAGGGCTTAGTATCAAGTAATGTAAGTGAGTCACTCATTTGCAAGCCCGGGATAAAACCGGTGATAAGAGCGCTTCGTAATGAATGACTAAGTTCACATGCGTTCTTCAAGTTGCAAGTCTATGATTTTTTCAGCACACGTGGCTATATGATTTTGTCGATGCTGGCATGGGCTTACATAGTATTCATCGTTGCGTGGAATGTCTACTCTGGTGCAACAAAGACGTTCTCGAGGAAGAAGCTCAGCATGCAGGATACAATACTAGGAAACAATTTGCTGACCACGGTACGCCAACTCTTACTAAAAAGGGCAAACAATCTGTTTGAAGCTTTCTTGACATGGTTTCCTTGATATACCGAGGGGGAGAGTTCGAATTCGCAAAGAATACGCTTCCACATAGTTTCAGCGCTTTTAGTGTTTGTTTTAGTTAGTTTTATATAACCTCCTGTGGTAGACAGTAGTGACGACGATTATCCTTAGACCTACAGTGACGACGGTTGGAATTGTAACAGCGTCCTTCCCGTCAAGGAACTTCTGCCCAACATAGGGATAGCTCCGCCCACACGTGGACAGGCCCGCCCATGTCTTTTATTCGAAAATATGCGAAAGGGCAGAGAGGTCATTCTATCACTGAATGTTGCTGCTGTGTGTCAGGAGTGGCGTATGATAGTCAGCTGTATATCCTTATATCCTGTGCTTAACATCAGGCGGGAACAGTTTACGGCTTTGCAATGGACCAACTTCTAGCATATTACACTAATATGCTTTACGCACAACATTTGGGAATATCGCCGGTTGGTGGAAAGACTGGTATCTATTCAAATAATCACCATTCGTCATTTGAGATCATCGTACTTCGTCTACGCGTACTACTTCGATCAGTTGATTGCTTGTCATTTTTATGGATATCTCAATATCTCTCATTGCTTCGACTCATCCAACAAGCACTCCCACCCACCTGGTCAAAGTTGGGGTCAACTAACGTGATGTCTGCATGTTTCGAATCGCTTCGGATGAAACGCAGATCGTTCGCAGTGGCGTTGGCAGAAGGTGTGCGAGGCTCTAAGGCAGATATTGTCGTTGTTGAAGTCAGTTTATCATGACCGCGGTTTCGAACTAATTATCATGCTGCCGTCAAAAATTACACATCGTTTCACTGAGCGAGTCTGGAAAAGTTTTTGCTTAAAAAAAAGCAGACTTTGAGTGAACATCGTGCACTCAGAACTCAAGTGCAAGGCAAATCCGCTTAGGGTTCTTTCGGAAATCGACCAAACCAATAAGCTGTCAAGCCAACTGAAATCCACGCCAGCCTTCCCACCTACCAGATCAGCCCAGCGCCCTTTTATGACTACTTTCCACCTCATCCAATAAATACCACTTGCTAACTATTCTGCAGAGACCCATAGACCTGATCAAGTCACCTGGTGGGTGTGAAACTAAGGGTAATGCTGGTGCTAGCTAATAGGAAGTACATAGCCCGAACAATTCAACGATTATGCGCATGGTCTCAAATAGATCATACCTCACCCCAGAAGCATCACATCCCAAGAGTCCTTTGCTCTTTGGTACCTAGAGACCTTGAGGAGATTGAACACATAAGTCGGTGTATCGGCCAGCCAACGCAAGCCATTGTATAGGTCAAATCGCCCCCGAATTCTCCTTCGGCACTGAATGTTTGTAAAACAACATTTTAACCCATTCGTGACAATGTCAGCCACCGGTGGCTGACAAAGATCTCACTCGGGACAATGGTATCCACCGGTGGCTGCCGTGTTTCAAATGGAATTTGGAAAGTTTTCTTCCTGAAAAGAATCTTCATACCCTCATTCATCTACGCCAGCCCTGGGCAGAGGAAATCTCCATCCACTCAAATTTTATTGAAGAAAAATCTCCTGACTCTCCTGCTATTGCGCAATCCCGCGCGGTCGCGAATGGGTTAAATGAAGTGATCAACGTCCAAGGTTTCATCCTTTTTATAATTTTTCTCCGGAGTGATGGAACAGTACACACGGTTCTTCTCGAGCCTCTAAAAGCGTGCGTTAATGACTTAGACCTGATCTTTGTAATAGTTGTTGTCAGATCTCACCAAACAATCCGCTGACTAAGATTGTTGTTGAAGCTGTACGGTAGTCAGATGAGATCTATTGAAATCGCTCAGCCAGGCTTATGTTTACCTTGATAAGTCACCTTTCTTGCTAAAAACATCTTTCTTGCCTAAAATGAATGCTAAACTAATTAGTAGTCAGAAATCAAATCTATGAATGACAGAGCTGGTTCAGATGGGCAGCCCCTTGGATAGCTCATAAGCGACACCTTTCATCACAATAGTCTCCCTAACTACTTCGCCTCCGCGAATGAAATCTCATGGGAAAGTGACTTCCGCACGACAAACAACCGACAAGTAACGCGCGTTTACGTTAACTTCTCCACGCGAGTGGCATAGCGCATCCTCCACACGTTCATTATAGGCGAGGTGGCTCGCGCAGTTTGCGAACCTAAAGTGGTAAACGTGCATGGCCAAGGCCAAAAGTATGCCTTCGCCCACATGGAATCAGTTGAAGCAGGCTTGGGCCAACACAGGGTTTGGGTATTAGAAGGCAGCGATTACACAATTTTTCTGGAAGGGTTTAGAGGAGACGTGGTGGTGCTCAATGGTACGCCAGTGGCGAAAGAAGCAGACAAATCCGCCAAAAATGCAAAACGGGACTCCTGTTGGTTTTCACTCATGAACAGGTAACAGCTCTGAAGCGGACGCATGAACTATTTCACCGTAACACGTTGAGTGGCATCATCTCAAACCACGCTTCAATCGAGCTGTCCAGTGGTGGCTGCCCGCTGCTGGCAACGCAGCTCGTCCAAATCACCAACTAGGGCAGTGGGCGGGCCGCTTTTGGGGCGGAGCGCTTTCAAAGTCCTGCTCAGCAACAACAGCGCACCTTCCGTCGTAGAAGCGCCACACCTTGCTTCTTGGCAGCCAAGTGAACTGCTTTGTGGTGCATATGCTTCCCCGATGCGCTCCCTCTTTATCGTAATCGCTGCCTTAACACGTTGACGACAACGCGAGTTTTGGCACTTTTGGCCACGTGGGACCACGGCGTTTTTGCGAGCGCCGCCGCCTCAGGTTGTTCAAGCAAATTTTGAGTGATAAAAACATAAATAATGATCAATACAAGGCCAGATCAATATATTGTAATGAGCACAACCTACTCGGAGGTACAGTAGCGGAATTTCTATTGAAAGACATGGAATAACAATGAAAAAGTGATATTCTTTAGAACAAGCTGCAATGAACTTCAAAGGCAATTTTAAGTTGATTATTTTAATCAAAACACATATATTGTCATCTCTAAGGTACCGTATCTACTTCTACTACTATTTAAACCTTCACATTCATAGGAAGAAAAAGTAAACGAAAAAGTTTATTAAGCTGAAGATTTCGTATGGTTCAGAAATCCTCCTCTAAATTGAAGCATACGTGACCATTCTATGGACCACTATGTTTTTAGCTAGGTCAAGGTCTCCTTCCATTCAATAATACAAGAAACTTCTAGAAGAATCAGGCGTGCGCGAAAAAAAGAGTGTAATGGGTGCGGGGGATATATATCCCGCACGGTCCGACATGGCCTGCAATGCGCGGGATATATATCCCCCGCGTTGTCGTCAATGTGTTAATAACCAATGCGTAAAGCATAAAATGTAGCCTATAAGGCGAACCCGCTTAAACTTATAGTTAGGTTTTAATGATCGTGCAGTTTCGGCGACCTGACTTCAGGAGTAGAACTGAACGTCTTCCGCTTGGACAAGCAGGGGGTTTGGGTAAAAAAAACAGTAAAGAGACTGAGAGAAGAATGACAAGGAAAGAAAGTGAGAAAAGACTGTGGCTGGTGAACAATGTGAGGTTGAAAGAAAAGAAACGAGAGGACTGAGGGAGGAAAGAGACAACCTTTTTTGGAAAAAAATAGCCGTCCATCGAAGACTAATTTCTCTTTGAGGCGTATGGCATTAATATTATAACGTATAGAATAATATTTCAGGTGACCAAACTGACAAGTATGATCACACCATTGCTGACCGGAGCCGATTCGTGGGTTCAGTGGGTGTGGACGATCTTCAGCTATTCGTCGTCGATTGTAAACCAAATGATTAATCCACTTCTGTTTCTAACCATGAACAAAATGGTCCGTTCTGTGCTACGAAATTTCTTTCGGTCGGCATCCGGTAGCATCAATTCTGATCTTGACGAAACGCCGAAGCGCAGCCAATCCGCGCCGCCTGGACTCTATCGAAATCGTGTCGAATGTTTTCGTACGCTCGAAACCGAATGATTGACAAATCAAGGGGCAACCAATGTCGAGGGCCAACGTGGCGGGTATTTTGGAGCCGCTACGGCCTGTACCTTGTTAGGCGGGGGGCCAGGTGATGTCCACTGAAGACTTCATCATAAAAGTGACATGGCCCCTTAACCGTTTGCAGTCGTACAATAACAAATGCCACTATCACTAGTATAAATTTCTAGTTACCAATTCACTTAAAGTCCATCGTCATTTGTGTTGTGAGGTCTGCAGTGCAGACTTCGCTGGCCACCGGATACAAGGGATAATCAGTCTGAAGTTTGATAGCAAAAAACAAGCAGTAGATAATTCCCATTCTTCCTAAGCTCATATAAATTGCTTCACTGAAAGCGAGAAAAGCGCGTCGCGTTAACTAGTCCTATGAGGATGAGCCACGCACCCAACTTCCATGAAAAATCGCAGCTCCACAAAAGCGCGCACTTGTCCAACCCATGGAATGGAAAGAGGGGTGGCTGCCACTGCCTAGATGCCCCTATTGGACCTACTGAAGGCAAGGTGAAACCCATGTCGGTGACCTCTCGACTTATTTCGCTCCCAGTGTCTTTAGGTTCGCACACCGTACGACTGGTTATTAGTTCCCGATAAGGATCGGGTCATACTTTGCGATCTTGCGGCTTTCCAATCGTTGTATTTCGTGTATTAGATACGTATCGATCACACCTATAACCCGGCCCTAAGGAAAAAAGGAATGGCAAAGTGGCAAATGGCCACAGTAATCCTACCTCACCCACTCGATCTTCTCCAATTTTCCTTCCTACTATATTTTTGCACAAAATCTGTACATAGCATCGTTTCTCATTGTAGCATCGATTACGTAATCCATCTAGTATTGTTACATTGCCCTTTGCAACATTGCATAAATCTGAACAAAAGAGAATCCATATTCATTAAATAAAAAGGAATCATCACAGCATTATTAAAATTCATCTCCAGCTTTCAGAAAGCGCGTCCACATCCATACAGAATCACAGTGTGACCAACTAGCGAAATATTAACTACTCTAAGAATAAATTAATACGGAAAACGAGGCAACGACAATGATTTTCGACGATATTTGTGAGGGACAGAATCATACTTAAAGACTATCACAGTGAAAACAAAACCTGAATATGCAGATTTGGCTAATTCTACAGTTCTGAACGCCCTCTCATCAGTTTCATACTAAAATGATAATACCTAGTAGCCACCCTATTTCAAGTTCCATTATAAAGTAATCAGGTTAACGAGGCGAACAGAAGTGTAAAAGCAAATTATAAGCGATAGGATTGACGAAATAGATTTGATAACGAGTACCCATAGTCCACACACAAACCAACAGAACAGTTCCTCCGAAATATACAAGACAAATGGTTATACAGCAATTAAATTAATTAAAGTTCAATTTGAGGGAGAGCAGCCGCCAAGCCTACGACACCAAAATGACGTGAGTGCTACGAAAGAAGCGGCCGTCAACGGACTGCTCAGTTTCTACGGGAAGGCCTGATTTCAACATCGACATCCATGCCGTTCTTAAGAGACTTACACACTCATCTCTTTCTCGTTCACCTTCTGTTCTTCGGTGTAGAAATGTCGTTTTCGCCGCTTCGTTGGGAGTTCCATAGCTGCTACCTGAATAATTAAAAATGCAACCTTGTTGAGTAGCGTATAAGAATGCATTCAATAAACAGTTACTTTCCAAAGAAATACACACTGATCCCACTATCAGAACATATACAATACCCGCTACTTACGCGCCGAAGCGAGGCACCGCACTGATAAACAATAAATTGGTAGCAGTGACTTCTTTATGGCCTTTCAGCGCAATGAAAGGCCAACCATGTGCTAATATCAGAAGAGCTATCGAGCTTTTCGACGTTTGAGCGGTGCAAGAGAAGAAGAGAGGAGTGGGTGGTTGAACCAATAGCATGGTGTTTGAAGTGATAATTTGTGCAAAGTAATTTTGACATGCTTCGACACACAAATAATAACACAATCCATTTCTTGAAAAAATCTCTTCGCGATGTCTACAAAAATATTGCGTCATACTTGACTCAGAATAGTGGGCTATACGCATGGATAAAGGAATCAGACGTATTCATCCTCAAAGATGTTGGCACGAACGGGGCGACTGAAATTTCACGAGCGACCGGAATGTTCCGCAACCCGCTAGAATCTCATAGCAAAAGATAACGCAACCTACAGCCTTCCTGGTTGCTTTTTATTTAGAACAGAGAACTTATGATAAACACTGGTAGCCGGATTGCGAAGTAGGAAATGGGGAACGAGCAGGCCAAAAGGCGAGGGTAAGCAAACGCCTTTTGGCGTTTGGTGGACGTAATGCCTGAATGTTGGAGGGGATGGGGTCCCGGTCGGTCGACGTTTTACTTCAACTCGGTTGTACGATAGGAGAGTACTGACGCAAGTGGTGCAGCTGGTCCAGCAGCTCCGCCAGAAGGTGGTTTGCTCACCCCAGACTAAGCCTTGGAGAGGGGACGGACATCACTCCCAACATTCAGCCACGGTCATGCGCGGAGCGCCAAAAGGCTGGTTTGCTTAGGTCCAAAGGCAAAGATTTGCTTGAGATAATGAAGCATGAAGTTTCGAATTCATGTTTTCATATCGAGCACAAGAACGCTATTTATATAAAGTGATCTAGGTAATAGGAGTCAGTCAAATTTCATTCAAACTGCACGGCATCTCCACCATGCACCTAGCCTGACCTGAGCTCAGTAGCCACTGCTTAACTTGGATTCGACACCGAAAATTTTGGGGCCTTGTACTATAAAATGTCCTTTTGAACAAACAATGGTGAAGTACAGATTTGAGTTATGCTACTCGCGAATAAATTCAACAACCCGGAATTAAATGCCCAGAGTTTCGTGCTTTAATGCGACAAAAAATTAGGCTGTGTTTATCCTATTCATGGCGAATGAAAACTCTTTGATATCGACAATGAAGATGGAATCTACCAAAATGTGCCCCAACGATCTGCGAACTTTGTATCCGTGTGGACCGCGCCAACAAGGACGATTTCATCCACCTCTGACGGTTGGAGGTTCGCGTCCGCTAGCGCCGCTTCAATAGGCTGTTCTATGGACTTGAACAAATCCGCATTCAACTCCTCGAACTCATCACGACGCAGCTGAAAACTACGCATCCTATAAAACACATCCACAGTCAATCATAACCAGACCAGATACCTGATGGTGCCAGTTTCCTATTTCCTTGAGGTTGAACTCCATTTTAGCCGTTGGGTGAGTAGTAAGCCTGAGTTTTGCCTTCTCAATTTCAAGACGAATCTGCTGCAAATCCTCCTTGTCGCTTATCGTCTTGCCGAATTTCTTTTGCAGCACCTATGAATAAAAACAGTGTAACCAGAAAATTAGAGCTCAAAACAGTGATTTGAGGGACTTCCAGCATAACTGAAGAGGTCTTTCCAATTAACTTTAAAGAGGCATTGAATTATGTAGGACTTCAAACCGCACTAAATATCCCTTGTAGAAGATTTAAGGTTGAGTGAGAGTGCAACTTGGACAAGAAACGAAACAAAAACCTCCAGAAGAAACCGAGAACCTAGAGTTACGTCCCATTCAAACATTGTTTTTAAAGCGGCAACAGTAGCATTCCACAAGTGATCAGAAGAAATGAAAGGTATACAATATTTTTATATTTTTTCGAAAATGAAAATTCGATGTATAAGGAGGATGAGGAATGCCACGTATTTGCCTCCAGACAAAAATGGGATACCTTAGTTCCTATATTCGCTGCAAGCCTAGGAGAACATCATGGATAAAAAAAACAAGCAATACAGGCATGAAAACCTGATAAGAAATTAAGCGCATCCAACACGTAACTGAACAAGAGTTAAAACTTACAGACAAAATGTGCTTCTGGACACGATCATTGAAATCTTGTCCTCCCAATCGGTTGTTACCGGCCATGGCTTGCGTGACGAAAGTACCTCCTTGGAGCCAGAGGACAGACACATCGAGTGTTCCTCCTCCTTTATTGAACGATAGTTAAGTTCTTCCGACAAAAATGGAATTTCAAAACAACAACTAACCGAGATCTATTACTACAACGCTCTCAACGCCCTTCTTCTTGTGTAGACCATAAGCCAGAGATGCAGCGGTAGGTTCAGAAATGATCCGACGCACCTCCATGCCTACAATAAGACCACCTCAGATTTCTATAAAAAATTTGAATCAGAAGTAAAGGTCTAAAAAAGAAAATAAACTGAGAAATAAATAAGTTCCTCATGAAGAAGCAAGTGTATCGAAGGAAAATGATACAGAATAAACTGAGGGCACTGTGAGCAAAGCGAGTTTGCAATGGCAGAATCGAAAGATCGAATGTTGTTCTTTGTGAATACTGTAGGTTGCGTTAGAAGGATAGCATCTATTTTGCTTCTCTAACCGTAGGAAATATTTGAGTTCAATGAAATACTATCAGGGAAACAAAATAAACAAGTAGTGGAAAGCTGGACATGACATGAAACCTGTGATGAAAATGGCCTGTATGGCCTGATAGAAATCAGAAGCGCTTCGAGATTGAAAAAAGATGTTTTCTAATTACCTGCTAATTCCGCTGCCTTCCCTGTGACATTGCGCTGGTTTTCACCGAACTCAGCCGGCACAGATATGACAACCTCAACGAAAAAGGAATGGTGAAAGCTTACGAAAGAGATAAAAGAAAATAAGGTCCACTACGAACTTGCTTCAGCGGCGTTTTTAACTGTTTTTCAGCAGATTTCTTCAAATACGAAATAATAATGGATCCAACATCCTGCGGATATAAAACCCTGAAATGAGAAAAATGCATTATCACTTATCACAACAGCAAACGTCGGTAAGAAGACATCACAGGCCGAGATTTTTAGCAGAAACTCATTTACTTCCTCTAGGTAACTTTTCAGGGATAATATTTCATGAAGAAAATAACTTAAGACCCAATTGCGGTGATAGTTCGAACTCCACCCAACCATGTTGGCGGCTGCCGACAAGTAATTGCTCTTTGCCAATGCAAATTTAGGCGGTGCATGTCACTCAGAATGCTATAAAAGCACCTTGTATGCCCATTTACTGATGTCTTGGACTGTGACGAAGAGCTGATAGACCGGAAAAGTGAAACACTTACTTAACTCCGCTATCCAATGGAACTTCGAAAAATGCGTGTCCAGTTTCATCCAGCTTGATAGTAAAAGGATATCGCTTTTGATCGGTCTGTATGAATGCCAGATTAGAAGTGTGCAAGGCAACACATTCAACCAGCACAGAAAATTTGCCGGGAATATATGCTTACCAAAAAATTTTCGTTGTCCTTTTCAAATGTACGCCCAATAAAACGTTTGGCATCATATATAGTTCTTTGGGGATTTTTTTCTTGTTGTTCTACGGCACGAGTTCCAACAATTACTGTTCCATTCGGCCTGAAAATTGTCTATTCTTTCTCACGAGTAGTTACCGCTCCAGTATCCATGATGCAGAAAAAGGTAGAAATATATGTATAACGGATCTAAAGAAAACCTACAAAAATGCCACTACGCTCGGAACGGACAACTTTCCAATCTCATCAGGTAAAATGGTCGTTACACCGGTAACAGCATGATAAATACCTGAATAGAAATATGCAAGAAAAGAGAAAAAGTATTTCGGCGCCAGCTTCTCCACACAATTATAACTGAACTCTCATTCTATTTGTGTCACAACTTTCTACGCAATATTCTGCTAATTCCACATGATTTAATCGATCCCTCAAGGCACTGGTAATCAAACGCATGCCTTCTCAAATAAAAGCATGTGAGAATACAATTAATTTCTGGTTATCGTACAGCTCATCACGTTTTCAATATTCATGATGGCAACTTTATGGTTGCCACGTCATACACAAGTCCTCGGGCAAGGAAAGTTTCCTATATTGATCTTTTACTTTTGTTCGGCAACGGTAAGTACCGCAAACGTGAAAGACCAAGCGTGGCCAACAACACTAGCGAGTACAAAAGTCCTGATAAACCCAGACATGGCCATCGGTGGAAAAGAAGGCCAACCACAATGGTCGAATCATACTTTGCAGTTCGGCTTGCTATTCGAGTGTGGAACAGATATGGTATCGCAGGCGTGCGACATCCCACAAAGGCCGATGTCAGACTTTGCGAATCGCGCGATTCGCTAGCGTCTGCGGTCGCGTCGCGGCCAGTGAATCACTCAATTGGCTGGTACCGCAACGCGACCGCGGACGCTAGCGAATCGCGCGAATCGCTAGTAGCGAATCGCGCGATTCGCAAAGTCTGACATCGGCCTAATTGATCGCGTACTGTAATTGCAAGCCAGGGCAAGGATGATCAACCTCGGAGGCAAGAAAGGGAACATATTACTTTACTTGGTTTTGCTCTACAACCTTTGTAGTCGTTAAGTAGGCTCCCAGACAATACCTAACCATTTGGGCGCGGCCGCGGCGAACGCGGCCGAGTTGATAGGTGCCCGCGAACTCAGCACAGCACAGTTCGCGGGCACCTCGAGTGCGTTTTCAACGGTTCGCGGGCACAATCGACTCGGCCGCGTTCGCCGCGGCCGCGCCCAAATGGTTAGGTATTGTCTGGGAGCCGTTTTGTGAACGTCACACTTCCATCTTGCACGAATATAATATTTATTTATGATTTTCTTCTATATTGGCAACGACAGCGTCATTTTTTTGGCTTCAAAACCTAGTCGCCTCCTAATTTAAAAAGGAAGTCGGCATCAATCCAAGCGAGTCAGAAATGCTGAAGTATTCTTCCTCTTTTTTTTTTTTTTTTTTTTTTCGTTATTCTGAAAACTGCTAGAAAGCACTAAAGAAGTGGTAGACAACGAGGCAGGGGAAATACGACCATCAATTGGGTAGTTCAGGGTATGTCCATACAATCCATACGATTTGAATAATGTCAACACATGAGGATATGAGCGGTCATGTAAGAGCGCAATTTGACCCTTCTCTTTGCTTTCATGACACCATATAAATGACCATGAATCCTGCCACAAAAACCACTGCTGCTGAAACAGCTAGCTCTAGCTCTTGCGCATCTCGAAAACCCAAACACTCTGTGGTATTGATCGTAAGATCGAGAAGGTTGTTTTCCACGGAAAAGTTACATAGCATAGCTTGCAGATTACTGATCAAGAATCTAGCTCGCATAGCTGTCAGCATAAGCAGAACCTTGCCACATGCGCTGCCGCGCTGGAAAGCTTCATAGGAAAGGAAGAATCGCAATTTCAATTGGCTTGTCGCTATCTCGGGTTGAAAGTCGGCGGAATATCACTGCAATAAGGTCTTATAATACTCAACCGAAGTGGTTTACGGACTACTTGATTTTTCCTCAATGGTCCTGCCGCGATGGCTAGAGCACAGACGATTAGAGAACGGGTGAATGCCCTAGGACTAAGCCTTGGAGAGGAGAGGGACCCGCGAGAGAGCGCAGAGGAGGTTTAAAGGGCTGAGTTCAAGTAGTCCGTCGACCCTACTGGAACATGATGTGTTGATGTGAAGAAACTATGTGAAGAATACTATTATACAAGGTGACAGGACACCCAAAACACAAAGAGAAGGAAAATTCCTGACCTATCGACGAAAAAGTGGTGCCTAAGTCAATGCCAGCGATTTTCGGTGGCGGAGGTGGTAAACCATATTGTCGTGCAATGTAGCCGGCTATCAGCACCACCAATATGGCACCGCCTGAACATACAACAAAATAAGATTAGGAAAGGACCGAGTGGAGAAGAAAACATACCTATCATTGACATTGATGACATCTTGAGACAGGGTTAAGTGCAGACCCGTATTTTTGATTCCCAATAAATAATTAATAAAAACAAACAAAAATGAATCTGAAAGTGCACCAATTACAACAACGATGCCAAAATTTTGAAGGAACAGAAGAAACGATCAACTGTTCGCAATCAGAACAAAAGGCAACAATATTAGGTTGACGTAAAACGAAAGCCGAGAACCTCAATAAAATAAAAGGAAGGTGTGAGAGGCAATGCGCAGCACCAAGTATGTATAACACCTACGATTCACCACAGGAAACACGTGTCGAATCACCACAGAACAACAGCAGTTCTAGTCCTACGGGGTTGGGTAAACAGAAGATTTGCCTGCAATGTCAAAAATACTCTTGCTCATGGCGCTTTCATGGTCGGTCCTCCAATCATAAGTGATGTAGCCATCCCACAGCTTTAAAATCATATCGACCGTCTGATAAATCGAATGATCGATACGTATCTGGTGCTGTACGACTGGTACGATCGGATGAGCGACTGGAAGCGCTCCAGCTGGGCGGACGTGAAAAAAGTCGCGCTGTTACCCATGAAGAGCATTCTTTCATGCATTTAGTTTTCCCTCAGCCAACGGCTCAACACCAGATTTGCAAGACAAAACACATACATGTATATCGCCAAGCTACCCCCCCCCCCCTTCTGCGAACCATAAAACGGGCCACGTACGCGTTCAAATGAAACTACGTATTTTGAAGTAATGCAGAATACGTGGCTCCTCC